CTGTAATTCACTTTGTGTAATAAAAAAAATTGTCACAATATTGCTTGTTGTTGTTGTTGTTGTTGTTGTTGTTGTTTCTACTGTCGATTCAAGTAGCTCTCCCAGAAGGCGTATAACCTGTATCCAAACTGAACTGCTCCTAAATAATTTCCATTCTGCTGTTTGATGCACCGTTTTTGATTGCCTACTTATAAACGTACGGTTGAATAAATATTAATCTATCTGTTATCGTTCGTCCCATTCATCTTTCTTCATTGTTTCACCGAGATCAAACTGATTTGATCCCCATGCACAATCAAATCGTGCGAATAGTAAACCTGATTCACACTGTACTCATTTTGAAAGATTGATGCCGTACTTCTCATTCTCAATTTTTTTCCCTGTCTTCGGTCAGATTCCCAATGGACCAACACGAGTGTGCTCACCGTAATCCAAGTGAAACCGTCCACCTCGACTGATCATCATTCGTTGCTACTTTTATTGCTCATCCCAATCCTGGTTTCTGTCTTCTTTCTCGTCCTGGGCATTGTTCTGTGTCAGTTACATCAAAAGCGATTGAAGGCAGCTCTTTTCAAGCAGGTGGGTTTTCTTCTNCTTCTCTTCGACCATTCATCCATACTGGTTCTACTCATTTAGGCTCTGCCTTTGTCCCGCGGGAATCGCTTGTGTACGTGCGATACGATGCGTCTGAAATCGGACGGCGCACACCGAGGCTCAATCGCCCAATGCACGTGTGGTTATGTGGACAGTTTGAAACAGAATGGCGGTCTAGATAGTCAATTCGGTTATCATCCACCCGGCCTGGTACGACGTACGCCTAAGGTTGGCACCGGCTGGTTGACGCCGGAGGAGATTGAAGGGGTGAGTGAACATTCAGTATGGTAATATGGCATAATTTGGGTACTGGATGAGTATGTCATCTCTGGACAAATGATAGTCTCATTTTTTCGATGGTAAAGTGTGAACTGCTTGTGCAGCAGATGTTTGCTTAGAAAACTCAATGTGGTGAGACTTATACCTGGTATTGTTACCTGAGAAATTAATGGAGAATGTAGGTAAATTTTACTATTCCGTGAGCTATATCTCACGTGGTGGACGTATCACGGGTGAAGCGCGTCGACACGAATACAGAAGTTTCGGTTGTCCTGTACCAACTTGAGGTATCTCTGGCGCTGTCGCCACGTCCGGCTGTCTCTGAAAGATCGAGGTTGTTCTGCATTAGTATATAGAGCTGGGTCTTGGCCGTTACGAGGACAGGATAAACATTGATTGTCAGCGTTTGAATACCACATTCTACGTTTCATTGCATGAACCTAGTGGTTCAGTCGTACAAGTAATAGAGAGGTTAAGCGTACAGTTTTAGGTTGTCACTTGCCCACGGGGGTAATTGTTTGATCTCATTAGATTACGTTGACTGAAAGTTGTGTTAAGCGTGTCAGCAAAGAGATTGCCTCAACGGATGACGTTTGCTAAACCGGTTAGCTATTGGAAGAAGGCTAAACGTGATCACGTGGTCTGAACACGGACCAGCGAATTCCGTCATACAGGTCGGTTTGGGCTGTTTTTGGTTGCTGTCTCAGGAGAAAGCGGGACAAGAGGTTCGAGTGAAAGTTTGTGTGTAATCGGCTAAAGCTTCAATACAAATACAACTATACTTGAGTCTCTTAAACAGTGATGCTTGTGCATCTGCTCAGTATACTTGTAACCTTAGTCCACATGAATTCTCTGTCTTGACTTTGACACTGTTTTTGCCAATCTTGCTCCAAGTCATTCATTCAAATAGGTTGCCGAAAAACTAGCCCAAACTGTCATACAAAATTGTGAGGTTTATGGTTGTACAAACCGAAACAATTAGATAGGCATTCTTAATGGGAAAAATGCTGATCTATTGGAAATCAAGATAGTGTGGTTGGTTTGCTGTGCGCGTGTACTGCTTGGCTCAAACAACCAAATGTGCATTTCATTATATGATTACGGACAATGCGTATTGCATAGCTGTTTCGCTCTTTTTGGGACTCATCCACGCAGCCCCGGGTCTCGAACCACAAACAATTGGGTTTCGCAATCGAAATTCTTACGATTAAGCCACTCGCATGACGATCAGTGTGTACTTTGAGTGATTGGCTAAATTCAGTTATCTGGTTACGCCTGAATGATGTCATTCGATTCACTCAGGCTCTGGGCACCACGTGTGGTGTTGAAATTTTTTTCCGTTATGGATTTCACTCCTTAGGACTACGAAGTAATTGACAACTTATTTTGCATCCAACGCAGTCCCGGCAGGAATAGCACATTTGCTGTGATAAGTCTCGTCAAGAATGAAAAATTTGTCCAGTGCTAATTAGGGGTAATTTTCATCAAATGTAAAGTGTTTAGAATTGTTCAGGGAATTTCTGAACTCCGGGGCACACTCGAAGCACACTGCCGAACAAAAGTCATAAACATACACAGTGTCAAGTACCAGGGAAAGTCGAAATGGTCCACTGACAAATCACAATCGCAACTAAATCTTTTTGTCTTCGGTACGTGTGGTCTGTTTAGTGACATTTGTCTTACTCTCCCTGTTGATTGTTTCTGTCCTATAGGCCATCCCTCGTGTGATTTTTCCGGTTTTCTATTTTTCTGTTTGTTTTTCTATTTGTACTAAAGACATCACAGCGTTGTGCGGGGGTCAGTCTTTTTTCAGCGTGCTACTGAATTATATGTTTTATCCTGTAACCAAAAGTGGGATTCACCGGACAGCGTCCCACGCTGACTGGTATTCACTGGTCAGATTATGCCTTTGCATGTGTTACGCAATTAGCCCAGTTTTTCCCGCTCTTTAGTTCGAGTGCGTTTCCACATGATTGCTCCTAAGGGACAAGTTCCCTTCTTTCAGGCATTACGCTTGACCTTTATAATTGAATAGATTGCGCTACAAACAGTGTGCCGCGTCTTGTCAGTTCATTATCCTGTGATTTTTATTTGCACTTAGCCGCGCTCCTTGTGTTTCTGACTCCGCTTGCATTGTAACTAATCTGATTTATTGAAACGAAGAATTAATTGATTAGTTATTTTCATGTCATCTGTTCCTATATGAAAATAAGTTAATTTCACGGATAATCGTGAAATATGTGGTATAAATTATCTGTTCTTTTTCTTCACCAATCCGCTTTCAGCCTTTGTCCCATCAAGCGCTACCTATGAGACAGTAGGATAATAGCGATGGCTTTTTTTCTAGCCATTTCAAATTTGCACGCTTCACGTCATGGTTTTTCTCTCACCTAGATCGATCGCTTACCAAACGCCAATCCGTCTTCCAGTCTCACATTTGATCGTTCGCGTGAGCTTCTCAGCGAATTGTTCACGGTCCATTGCCTAAGTGATTCTCTCTCTCTCTCTCCTCTCGGCCACACGGAGACGCGTTCGGTACCCGACAGCGCCACCGGCCATAGACTTTGCCTAGTCGAGCGTCTCCGGGGCAAATCGTTTTTTTTTCCTATTGAATTTTCGTTTTAATTTGTTAGTCTCCTTCATTCCTTCCCTCCCCCCGTCTCTCTTTCTCTCTGGCTTTCGCAGTTGGCTTCAAAAGTGAGAAAACTGGAACTGAAATCTCAAGGCTGTTTTGGTCAGGTTTGGCACGGTCGTTTCGCATTGCCCACAGAGGAGCCGTCCACACCCGTTGTGTCAACCACCGACCAGGGTGCCACATTCACCGCCTCAACTGCNGACGGTAAATTCATCCAAGCGGGTGAATCTCCGTCCACTGACCCAAAGGTTGTGGAGGTTGCCGTGAAGATTTTCCGATCCGCCCAGAAAGATAGTTGGCTTACTGAGCTCAGTCTGTTTCGATTGCCCGGGCTAGCTCATCCAAACATACTGAAATTTTACGGTGCAGATCAGGTAGGCGGTGGATGCATTCTATTCTTTTTTACACTCATATATATATATATATATATATAGTCTTTTTTTAAAGCTTGTGTGATCTAAATAAATCAAATGATAGAGAAAGTTAATCCTCATCTAATTCCGTTTTAAAGTGAAACATTTTCACCTGTTTGCTTATTGGACGATTTGGTCAGTCGTCTACTATCTGTTCATACCGTTGTTGATCTTAGTTAGTGGTATTTAGGTTTGTTGGGCGTGTTGAATAGGGAGCATTTGGGAGTGAAAATAGCGCCTTTGTCTGAAG